CAGAATGGATTGAGGGTTAACCCCTCCAAGGCCAGGAAAACAAAAGTTCCCACTTTTTCTCTGCCGAGATTGAGGGGAGGTACTTTGAATCTCTTCTCCGAGGAAAAATACATACCTCTTCGAGTGACCAAAAATAAGAATCGATCACTCTATCAGTGAAATTCAATAGTCTCGGTCTTGCAATATAAATAAAGCCATAAGACGAAAAAGTCGCGTCTCTCGATTTTTGTATAGCATTCCTTAACCTGTCGCCTTTTCTCTCATTAATAAGTAGTATCGGTACTAGCATTGTGCACTATGTACTAGCTACATATATACATTTGTGTATTGATACATATATACATGTTTACGTATGGACATATCGTGTAAGTATGTATATTTATTTATTTTGAGATGTTGTCATTGCCGACAATATTAGCGTTTTACTGATGCAATTTTATTTATTTTTGTTCTTGTGGCTGGCGTTGTTGTAAATTCTTATTAAACTGCGTCAATCGCGGGGTTTTTATCGAATTGTTTGTATTTTTGCTTTTGTTTTCATACTTATAGCCAGTCATTCCTCGTTCCCCATAAGATACTCGCCAGTCATCACCTTCAAAGTGTTTTCGCTTTCATCCATTCATCGCTGTTCTTCTCGACAGAATTCAGCTTTATACAACTCATCGAAGAACTTTTACGTTGATTATTTGTTCGTTCATTGCCGCTTATTAACTTTCCGAGTAATTCGCCTCATCAGTTGATTACGTCAACTCTTCCAACGCCTGGCTGCATTCGATTGAATGGAAAAGTAATATCCAGAGGATTTTTAGAGCGCATATGAGTTTTCTGGAAATAAAAACAGTTGAATTTAAATATTTGATTAACTATTCGTAATATTTTTAAATATAATATGTATGTATATGTACATATTACACATGACTACTGCAAGTTAAAGTAAATAAAATTGTATGGCCAACGTAAAACTCGTAATGTGTTCTGTAAATTAGAGAGGGTATGTGGTGAATCTCGATTGGTAAGTACTTTTCGAAATTCACCACGTACCTTCTAGTTTACAGAACACATTACTTTAATCTGGGCATGCCATTGGAGGTAAGCGAGAAATTTTCAAAATTTATTGCCTGTAATTCAGTGGGTATGCAGCTCTCTAGAAAACGGTAAAAAAAAAATTTCCATTATTTCGTGTGTGTGTCCAAGAAATTTTGAAATCTGATACTTCACAGCCTGTGACACCTGTTGCCTCACTCTTTCCTTAAGAAATAATGGAACGAGTATATGTTTCCGTTACAAGCATGGGATGCCTTGTGCTCTTTTTTCACACAAAAAAGCTTTCAAAACCCGTAATAGAAAGCGTAGCAAATTTCTTAAGAGCTGCGTACTGCCTTAAGGCTGGTATGCAGCTTTCGAGAAAACGGTCAAGAAAAAAATTGCCATTATTTCGTGTGTGTGTCCAAGCAATTTTGACAACTGATACTTCACCAGCCTGTGGCTCGCTCTTTCCTCAAGAAATGATGGAACGGACATATATTGCTGTTGCAAGCCTGAGTTTCCTTGTGCTTTTTTTTCACAAAAAACTTTAGAAACCCGTAGAAGAAAGCGTAGCAAATTTCTTAAGAACTGCGTCCTGCCTCAAGAAAATTTTACACTAGAAAATTTCTTAGGCATTCCTTGTACGTAATTTTGTATGAAATTTTTGCTTTTCTTGTGAACTGCATACAGGTCTTTAAGGAAATTTGACTCAAGAAAATTTCTTAGCCATTTCTTGTACGTCATTTGATATGGAGTTTTTGCTTTTCTTGAGAGCTGCACACTGGTCTTTTATGAGATAATCTAAAATTTTGTCTTGAAGCGTATTGTAACGTGTTACTCCATCGATAAAAAAAAGTAAGCGCTTACCAAAAAAAGAAAAGTTTTTGCTGGGGTATGAGGTTTAAAGCTCAGTTAGTCAACGACGTAGCGTAAACTTAGGTTGACGTACGTAGCAGCATATCAAATTTACTGTTGATAGAGAGAGAGCAGCAACGGCAACGTCACCGCCATGCGGTGGTGAGTTTTGGTAAAATAGTTCATATCGACGTTTGCATGTACTGCGTTTATGTGACGGAATTAATAAATTCTTCATTTCGTGAAGTGTTTTGAAAAGGGGTCAACGCACTAGCGGGAAACTTAACAGTAGGGGAGTGACTTTTCTGGCCTTTATTGAATTCGCATTGCGAATTTCGCAAAAGCCGTCGCTACCAGGCAGTGGTCCATATTATGTATATTTAAATTGGTTTTAATGTATTTGAGTTTATTCTTTTTAACTTTATTTGAACAAATTCACGTAACTTTTTCGGTGCGTAGATCCTGGTTATGCCATTACAAGCTTTTGAATCTAAAAACGTTATAGCCCTGTTGGATTGCTGTTTCTGAAATGTAACATGGCCAGATTTGCACTTCATCAATTCATGTAATGTTACCACAATTCATGGTAAACTTTCGTATATAACTGAATTCATAAAATGTCTACTCAAATTCTGGAAATGATTTCGTGAAACTGCCTACGCATTAACACGTCGTCATCAATTAAATTCTTGGCAATTTGTTTTTGTATGTTTATTTTCCTTTATATAAAAACGTTTTCTGTACCGTACCCCTAGAACTGGCTTATTACTCCTACTACCTGTTTTTTAGTATTATATTAGTATGGTACCCAACATGAATATGTTTTACAGTTGGTGAGATGAGAATAGGCTGTACGCCAACCCGATTCAAATTTGTTTTGTGCTCTTCACTAGAAGGACGACGGGGAACGGACTTGAAACCCCCGTTCCTAAAGGAGAAGTTTCAAAAACCAAAACAGAAAGTTAACTTCTATAGAATTATCTGATTAGACAAAA